CCGGCCGGCCCCTCGCCCGCCGGCGGCCGGAGCCACCGCCCCTACCGCGACACAGCCTTACGTGAAGACCCATATAGAAATATGGATTGACAGACCGACGAGAGCGGTAGCTGGCTTGTATTAGTCTAAGGCTAGTAGTTTAGCCATTTAAAATCCATTTCCCAAAAGAGGGGAAAACAAACCCACCTATTACTTCTCTCTCCTTTAAAAATCCGTCCAGCTGTTGCTGCCAAAAGCAACATGTAAAATGTTGGTGAAGGCAAAAGATTTCTAAAATTACCCAGCTATATACGGCTACGGCCTTCATCATAAAGATAAAAGGTACATTTATTGTGCTGTCTCTCACCAGATTTAATTGGTAACTTTACAACATACTATAATATTTGATGCTAGCAGGCAGACAGAATTAAAAACAGACTCTTTGACACGGTTTCTTTCCCCGTTCTTACAAAGTAGGGGACAAAGAAAAAAGTAAAATAATAATAAAAAAAAATTCATAACCCACTATAACACAGCTTAATCAGGAGCCCCAGAAAGGCCGGTTTCCCGAGCCCCGAGCGCGGCCGCCCGTTGGGGCCGCCGCGGCGTTAGTCCACGTGTTCAATGTCCTTTAAATCAGAAATAATGCCATGACGGGAAGCGCCCCGTGCTCTTCTGTTACCAGTTCATCATGGAGTTTCTGTTGAGGGTCATGAAAAACACTTGGCTACTTCCTCCGGACCTCACCGACGCAAAAAACACCTGTTTTGGGGAAAAAAACCGCATAGCACGTGGTCAGCTCTGAAGCAGCCAGGCAGCATCACCGACTGTGGCGGGGTGCGTTTTGAGCAAATCAAAAACTCTGATCGAATCAAAACCACTTAGTAACGGACACGGTAATAAAACCCTGAGTCATCTCTGTTTTGCTATCAATATCAAGGACAGCAAGGTTTAGAATGCCTTAAAAATACTAAGTTTATCACATATTTACACATATTATCACATAGTGCCACGGCACCATTTGTAAGTAAGTCATAATTAGCAAATTCTTACGGGGACACATCTTCAGCTCCTGCAGCTAAAATATCTGAAGTCTCTGTCCTTTTTTAAATAAAAATTAATCAATCTTCACATGTCTTTTAGTGCTAACCGTTTCTCCAGAAAGACAAACATCTGTGTTTAGCACTTCAAATCTACCAGTGATCAGTTGGTTCCAGTATTATAGCAAGATAGCAAGATATAGCAAGATTATAGCAAGACTGGAGTATGTTTTTCAGTTTGCTTAAAAAAAGAAAAAAACTAATAGGAATAAAACAGAAAAACAATCATTTAAAAACTGTATAAACCCTGCAGAGTCAAGTACTCAAAAGTTAGAAAAAAAACAATCTATGGCTATTTGGGCAACTTAAATTCAGCTTCTTGGGAAACTTCCTTAGGACACACTTTAATTGTATGCTTAAGATATATTTTTTCTTCAGAATTCCAGACTAACTCCGTGCAATGCTAGGTCAATGCTCGTTTAATGAGCAGCTATTCAATAAAATGATTCTGGCCTGCAACCTTATTTATTGCGTGCTATTAAACCCTGCTCTGACGACAGAACAATCAGCTTCTTCACGTGTTTCATGATCGTGATAATTACGAAAGAATTCCCTACTGCAGAGTCCCAATTTATCCTTGTGAAACCTTCTGAGATGAGCAAACACTATCGTCCCCGTTCTGCAGGTTCTTGCATTCAAAATAAAACTCTCCCTGTTCTAAGAGCGGCTGTCAAGTGCTCCACAACTCTGTTAATGAGATATAGGGCTCTATGTCGAACACCCCAAAATGGCATAAATCTATGAAAAGGTGCCCAAAATCAAAGAACAACTCAATAGCAGAAATGAGGGTAGAAGCCAGATCTGCAGCTCAGCCTTCAACCATCTCTTCCATGAAAATATTCCTCTTCCTCCTGCATTTTCTCCTTCCTGCATTCCCTA